CGAGGGCCGGGTTGGGGCGTGGCCTGGGGCTGGTCGGGGGCGTGGCTGGGGAGCGAGAGCCGGGTTGGGGCGTGGTCTGGGGTCGGTCGGGGGCGTGGCTGGGGAGCGAGAGCCGGGTTGGGGCGTGGCCTGGGGCTGGGTCGGGGGCGTGGCCTGGGAGCCGGCGGCAGCGGCGCGGGCGGGGGTTCAGCGCCGCGCTTTCTCCCGTGCTCGCTCTGTCCGCCGCCAGCCCGGAGGCCGCGCACGGCAGCGGAGGCTCCTCCGAGAGCCCGGCGTGCTCGGAGTTCCGCGGGGCCGGGACCGGCCCTGGGTCGCAGGGACGTCTTGGATCCGCTGACTCTGGAGGCTCCGCCGAGTGGGGGCCGCGTGAGGTGAGGCTGCGCCGGAGGCGCGCCGCTCTGCGGTGCGGGGCGCGGGGCGCGGGGGTCTGGGGCTGTTAGCTGGGAACCCCGGGAGAGGAATTAGCCCCGAACAACGGCTTTCGTAGCCTGAGGACGCCCTGCTTCCTCCTCTCCGATTCTCGGGGCCGCCGCGCTGCCCACCTGTTGGCGCCCTGCAGTGGCTGCTCGGCGCCCTGGCGCCCGTCCAGCGGCGTTGCCCCGGGGAGGGCGTGCGGGCGGCGTTCTTGGAAAAGGCCGTCTCCTGCACCGCCCTTCTAGGGATTACCCTGAAACTTTACCCGCGCTCTGGCTCGCCTGGCCGGGCCTGCGAGATTGCGCCGGGAGGGCGGACAGAGGTTCGGGGGGCCCGGTGCTGCCCGGAGCCCCTTTAATATTTAGCTCCCTCCGGCGGAGTGACCTGTGCGTCCAGCACCCGCCCGGGGCCGCCGCGTCGCGCGGACCGAGAGGGATGCGGTTGGAGAACTTAGCTCCGAAAGCAAGTTTCTCTCGCCGGCCCAACTGGGTCTCTTTTCACGGGCAAGTCAGTGGCACCAGGCGTCTGTCGTCTCTTGGTTGGAGGGAGGGAGTTGCTAGAGTCGGTTTGGTGCCGTTTCTGTTGACGAGGTGGGGGACACCAGCCCCTGGAAGATAGGAGCCAGCGCTTCTGCCCACGTCAGGGGAACTCAGGTGACCTGTGCTGGCGGGCCACCGGCTGACTGTGCGAAGTTACAGAGCTAAGTAAATCCCCCCCCAAGTGTGAAAACCGAACCAAACCAAACCCTCTCGTTGCGTTGGATAATAATGTTCATAATTGGTATCATAATTGGAACTAGCATTTGTTACCAAGGCTCTCCGTATTCACGTATCATCCGCCCCTTTCTCCGAGGATTTTCTCTGCACCCCTTCTCATTTTCTGTGGTGGCTGGTATTTTCTTCCCTATTAACCCCTCCTAGTCTCCCAGTTCTTTGCTCTCCTTTGCGGACAGGCACAGACATTTCACTCAATTTTATTTTTCCGCTTTCCCTAACAAATCCTCCTTTTCTCTTTTTTTGTTTTGTTTTGTTTTTTTTGGGAGGAAGATCAGCCCTGAACTAACATCTATTGCCAGTCCTCCTCCTTTTTTCCCCCTTTTTCTCCCCAAAGCCCCAGTAGACAGTTGTATATCATAGTTGCATATGCTTCTAGCTGCCGTATGTGGGGCGCGGCCTCAGCATGGCCCGACAAGTGGTGCGTGGGTGCGCGCCCGGGATCCGAACCCAGGCGGCCAGCAGCGGAGCGCGTGCACTTAACCACTAAGCCAGGGGGACGGCCCGCTCCTTTTCTCTTTATGTTCCCCCTCCCCCATCTTCCAGAGTTCCTCCCTGCATTGTTCTCCGGGTGTCTGTTAATTATGCATCCCTCCAAGTGCTGCTGGGCCTTGTTCTCTGCCCCCCTCCACCCCATCGTTTAGAGTTTTATTTGGCTATTTCTTATTATCCAATAATCTCATTTTCAGCTACCTCTTTTGGCCCTCAAATTTGCCATCTTCCTGCCACCCATCTTGATGATCTCCTTTTCTATTTGTGCTCCTGTGCATGCATGTGCAGGGTCTTCATTTTCTCCTCAGTTTCTCCCGCTCGGCCTTTCTTGCCTCTTACCTACTTCTCCCTGACAAGTGCTTTCCTAGCCACAGCCTCCCACTGCCGCCACAGCACACCCTGCTTCAGTTCCTTTGGTTGTGATTATTCCTACTCCATCACCTCTCTCCAATGAGCCCTCCATTACCTTGCAGACATCATTATTGCAGAAGGTCAGGAAGTGGAGGAAAGTGCAGGTGGGGGGAAGAGGAGGCAGTGAGCAGCTGCATTTCCCCAGGAGTGCTCTGAGTTCAGGACCGCCCATCTGCTCCTGTTTCTGTTTGTTTTCTTACTGAAGTGGTATTGTATACATAGTTGTTGAATCATGTTAGTGTTGCTATTAATATGAATATTAGGTAGCATTTATTGAACACTTAGTGTGTGCCGAGCACTCTTCTGAGGGCCTTACATGCAGTAATAACTCGTTAATCCTCCTCACATCCCTGTAATGTAGATACTGTTACTATCTGTTTTACAGATGAGAAAAGAGAGGCTCAGAGAAGTTAAGTAACAGGCCCAGTTCCTGGTGGCTGTGTAGTGGTGGGGCCCTTCTCACCAGGCGACCAAGCTTCCATGCCATGGGACCTTTTGAACTCAGACTTGGGGTGGATTTCAGCTTTAGAAGTGAGGTCATTATTTGCACATTTTACTTATTCTGTAGCTGACACCTGTCGAAGGCATAATATCTATTCCTGTAGAACAGTGTATGGGGAAAACCTAATGCCTAATGTCCCTCAGAAAGCCTGTGGACACTGCCTGGGCTGACTGAATTCGTGCTCATTTCCAGTCGGTTTTCCTGAAGAGAAGGCACTGGCCCTCTTAGCTACAGGAAGCCCAGAAGAAAGCTTCGTAAAAAAACACCATTGCTGACCGTCTCCCTCTGTGCATTGAGAGTTCAGTTTCACTTTAGCTGGCCAGACCTTTAGGGTCCCTGATAGCCCTGTGATTTTATAGTCTTGTTTATTTGTATTTCATTATACAATTTTAAAGCGTTGTTAAATATGTTTTTATTAGTCTTCACCTTCCTGAAAGTTGGAGGCAAGTATTTCTACTTTTGCAGATACTGAAGCAGAGAGTTGGTAAGATTTTATACTTTAATGGCTGGAAAGGACCTTACATTTCACAGATGAGGAAACTGGCCTACAGAAATAAAGTGATGTGTCTGAGGGACAGCAGCAGGAGAGTATTGCTGGCCTGAGCTCCGGATCTGCGGACCACTGGGCCAGCGCTCTCGTTGCCTTGCCCTGCGGCATGGTGGCACGGCCTCTGCCTGCTGCTGAAAGCAGTCAGCTTTCCTTCCCCTTCCCTTCCTGAGCTAAGAGGCATTGGAAGAATTCATTTAGAATGGAAAGTGTCAGTGGTTTTTTTTTCTTTTTTTTTTTTTGTCTGAAAGCTAAACATTTAAAAAATGTTTGCTTTTGAGATATGTAATGGCATAAATGAGATCATAAAATCACAGAAGTATAAATTCAGATGTTTTAGGAAGAAATATTTTTATTATTTCCAAAACACCAGGAAAGAACATGAAGCATACATTGCTTTCTAGAGGCGAATCGTATAATACGTGGCAATTTGAAAATCAGTAACTGGAATATTTAATTGTATTTTCCATTTGTGGAGAGAAAGGCTTTAGTACAAAAGTGCTCACATGACTTCCTTTATCTCTGCATCTCAAATAAAACAGCAGCGGGGGAGAGCATGTCAAGTCAGTTGTTCTTTTGTCGGCTCTGCTGTGCCCAACCCTATCTCCTCTTGGACTCTGATTTCGCTGTGCCCTCCTGATTCCCAGCTCTGCTCCTTCCTGTCTGTTTAATCCCTTTCTCCAGGAACCCTCAGGGAATGGGAGGGTATTGTTTACCCATGATGCTCAACTCATTCCATGTCAGCCTTTCTTGACAGAATTAAACCTGGTGCCCCAAGGTATGTGTTGTGTGTAATTAACTACTCTCTTGTGCTTCTAGAATGAGGTGGGTGGTTATGTACCATCCTTGGGAGAATTGAGGAAACGTTCGCTCAGGTCGTTCGTTGCCTGTGTGCTGTGGTTCACATGAGGACCATTGTAACTGAAGAGCAAGTTAGGCTTTACTGCTCCCCTGTCACAGTTGAAGAAATGGAGGTTCAGGGATGTTGTCGTGGCCAGAGCTTGCAGTAAATGACAAGACGGAGATTTGAGTGCAGGGCTACATGGCTCAGGCGATCTCATGCATGCTTCCATGTGTCTTGTCTCCTCTGTGGCTTGTCACTCCCTCAGGCAGCAGTGTTCCCACATGCCTTTTATCAACTAGATGATTCCTGCTTGCCGACCGGAGTGGGAACATGAGAGGAGGGGCCAGGGCAAGGTCGGTATGAGGGCTCCTGGAAGTTCCAAGCCTGCCCTTGCTCTGTCTCACTTCGAGTGTGGATGGCGCTTTCTGGTGGTGCCTGAGACAACCCTGGGGAGCTGTGGCAGTGCCAGACATGGAAAGAGAATGGTCTGCATTTCTAATGCATGGTTGTGGCAATTTGCTGTGGTTGGGATGTCAACATCTGTGGGCACAGGTAATGACCCATCCTGTGGTGACAGTGTTCAAATGTGCAGGACATAGGCTTCTTACCTCCTCTAACCAGGACCTTAAAGGACCTGAATTCTTTGTCAGAAATAACCTCCACCTGTTTCCCTGCAGCAGGACCACTCTGTCATTGTGGAAGAAATGAGAGGTCAACATTGTAATTTCGGGGACCATGTACCTGACTCAAAATATCTTCTGCTCTAGCCTGCCAGGTCTGAACTGGAAACACCCCTCGTCGTCCTCCCTGTCTGGAGTCAGCCAGCTTGGGGAGCTGTTGGAGGACTCGGCATGGCTGATCTGGAGAGGGAGGGACTTGGGGAGGCTGATCTGGAGAGGGAGGGGCCTGCCTTCCCCTCAACACTGAGATGGTTGGTGTCCTAGGATTGGCAAGCTGTCCTTGGAGAAAAGTAGAACACAGGTCTGAAATGGCCAGACTGGAAAAGTGTCAGTGGAAGGAGGTAGCCTGTAAGAAACTGGGAAATTGGGATCTTTGCTTACCATCTGGGGCAGGTGCCAGGGGAGGGCCAGTCCAAGATTTCGTTGTCTTACAGCAGAGGGGACAGGAGGCCAGGAATGAGATGTGTTCCTGGTATTGGAACTGTGATCACAGTCTTTCATAGATATCATTCTATATTAATAGGAACAGTGAGCAGTCTTGTACTTGAGTGTTAAAGTTACAATTCAGTCACGTTAAACAAGTTTCTGAGGTCAGGCCCTAGTACTTAGCCACTACATATGACATAGAGACAGATGAATGAGTCCCAAGTCCTAAAACAACTTACACATGTACTTTGAAACACAACCAATTTGTATGTTGGGACTCTC